TAATCTTTTACTTCAAAATCTATAAAACAATTATGAATTTAATATGAAAATTTATGTAAAATTAATTAAAAATATCTTAATTAATGGGATTAACATATATCCTTCATATACATAATAAGAAGTAATTATTAGTTAATAATTATTTTATAATATGTGAAATTTTAAATTAAAAAAATAAGTTTTGATTTTAATTTTAAAACAAAGAAATAAAAAGCTAACACATAACATTTGTAATTAAAACAAAAGTGAGTTTTATTATTTTTAAGATAAAAATTAATAATAATTATATAATAATTACTTCTTATTTTACGTCTTAAAAATAAATTATAGATAAATCTTATTAAAAAATTATTAATTAAACATAAACAAATTAGATATAAAATTAAATTTTTATTTCAATGCTAATATTACAACACTTTAATTAAATAATTAATAAAATTAGAGTTTATTTGAGGCGCAAGTTAAAAAATATTAATTATATTTTTTAATTAATTTACATAAAAATTAATTGTAAAATTACCAATTATTTAATTAAAATCAACTAAATAATATTAATAGTAAAAATAATATTTTATTTTTATATTTTTTTATAAAAATTTATCAAAAAAATAATATATTAAATATATTTTAAAAATACAAATTACACAAATCCCAATATAAGATTCCTTTAGAAAAACTTGTACTAAAAAGAGCACAGTTGGAATAACAAAAAAAGAAAAAAAAGGTAAAAGCTGACGTAAGAATGAGATATCATGTTGACCATTTCTCTCTCCTCTTTAAACCCCCTTCCCACCCTCTTCTTCCACCCCTACTTCTGTTCTTTCTTCTCTTTCCTTCCCCACCCAGCTTTTCTCAAACAATTTTCTCTGGTTTTCTTGCTCACCAAACGGTTGAGATGGTAAAGGAGAATTTATACATTACTATTCCTAGCTTTTTCAGATGTCCGATATCTCTGGACGTGATGAAATCGCCGGTGAGTTTGTGCACTGGCGTTACATACGACCGTGCCAGCATCCAACGGTGGCTCGATAGCGGCAACAATACATGTCCGGCCACCATGCAGGTGCTCCAGAGCAAGGAGTTCGTACCGAACCGCACGTTGCAGCGCCTCATTCAGATCTGGTCTGACTCGGCCCAAAATCGAGTCGACTCGGCTGAGTCGGGCGCCAACGCAGTTCCATCCAAGGAACAGGTCAGGGATTTGGTTAAGCAACTGGAAGTGGAGAAGAAATCCTTCGATTTTTGCTACTTAATCTTCTCGAAGATCCTTTGCTTCGCGAAAGAATCTGAGGAGAACAGAGATTTTCTCGCGAAATTGGACGGATTTGTCATTACGGTGCTTGATTTGTTGAGCAATGCGGTTGCAGATATCAAACTTCTCGAACTGGTTATTAAGATTTTGGATATGATCTTGATCAAGGTTGACGACCGGCAACAGTTGATGGAATCGATGTTGAAAAGTGATCGTGATTGTCTATCTGCGATTCTTCACGTTTTGCAGCGAGGAAGTTTAGATTCGCAAATCGAATCGGTTAGGACTTTGGAACCGGTCGCCATTGACGCGGAATCAAAACTCTTGATAGCAGAGAAGGAAGGATTGTTGTCAGAATTGGTGATATTAATTGGTAAAGAGAAGGATCCAAACATCATTGAGGCAAGTTTATCGTGTTTAATCGCGATATCGATGCCGAAGAGAGTAAAAACCAAATTAATCCAACTCCGAACAGTACCAGAACTAAGGAATCTGCTAACGAAACCGAATTCGAGCGTTTCAATGACGGAAAAGGCTCTGAAACTGCTGGAAACGCTTTCGTCTTGCAGAGAAGGCAGGGTGGAAATATGCTACGACACGTTACTGCTCCAAGCAATCGTGCAGAAGGTGTTGAAGGTTTCAAACACAGCGACAGAGCACGCGGTGACGATACTATGGAGCGTGTGCTATCTGTTCCGGGACCAGAAGGCGCAAGAGGCGGTGACAGTTGGTAATGGAATAACCAAATTTCTGCTGTTGATGCAAAGTAATTGCTCGCCAGCCGTTCGACAAATGTCCGCCGATCTGCTCAAGATTTCCCCGGTTAATTCCAAATCTTGCCTTCCGAGTTATGATACTAAGACTATTCATATTATGCCCTTTTGAGAACTCTTGCTTGTTGGGTTGTGAAGTTCAGCAGTTTGTAGGGTTTCTGGTTTCTCTTTCTGCTGAAAGGATGGAGAGAGGAATCAGGGAAAAAGGTTGTAAATCAAAGGAAATTTTGTTAGTGAATACAAACAGAGAAATTCATTTGATTTCAATTTAAGAAATTGTTCCTTATCGTTTACAGTTATGAGCATTTTTCCCTTCTTGTTTGATGTTTGTAAATAGTAGCTCAAAGGATTCAGAAATATTCTTCAATCCCTTGTTAAGTATCAAATTCTTGGGTATGTTTGAACTTTGAAGGTTCTTGAAATTGTTGAATTGTGGGGGCTAATACACTCTGTTCAAATTCACCCATTTTGAATGTGCTTATGCTCAGAATTTCAGAACCGAATGTGGTGCGGGCACATGCAATGAATATGTACAGCCTTATGATTGTCGTTACTCATAAATAGCTCTAATTGTTGCAATGCTTTAAAGTTTGTGGTGCAGCCTGAAGTATAAGGTACTGCAATGGTGGGAGCAGTATCACTTGGTTTTACACAAGAGTAATAATAGTCCAGTCCCCGCTAATGAAG